AAAGGCTCCACTATCTTCACTGGAGTTGTGCTGGGACTATTCGGCTGAGATTGAGCAAACTTCCTTTGTGCTTGCAGCCTGGGCCTTTTCCTCGACGGCCCTTCTTCAAAATCTGAAGAGCTAACATCGTTGCTAGTTGAGGACACCTGGGATGCATCGTCCTTCTCATTCTCTGACTGTTCTGACACTGGTCCTAATCCCTTAGACTGGTCATTACCAAGGAGCCCTTTTATTTATTTTTATTTGTTTTTTTGGTTGGGAAACCTGGGCAGCTCTCCAGACAGACTGCAGAAATCTCTTTCCACTCGCTCCTCCCCCCTGACTGACTCTTAAAGCCCCCATTCCAAGGGTCAGTGTCACTCTTCTGGGGTTAGGCATCTGCATGTTAGTGTTCTACCTTAGAATGAAGCATTCTCCACCTCTTTTTACTTCTCAGAGTCTTCCCCTGGTAAAGGCTTCTCTGGGAGGCCTGTTCTATGGGACATCCTCATTTGATTTTGTTTGTTTGAACAAAAGGATGTTCACAGAATGCTCAAGGAAATACTCTTATACCCTTTGCCTTGATTGGAGTTACAGAGATAGCAGAAGGAAAAGAATTATGCAGGAAGACCTTGTCTCTGACCTGCTGGTATCCTGAGTGCTTTGTACTCATGGGCACGTCTGCCATGTACACAGACGGTTCTGCTAGTCTGAGTGTCGATGGAATGCCGCAAGGAGAAGAATGGTACAGACTGAACAATGCCACAGTTGCAGTTTATTGGGACACAAGCTTTAGAAAGCAGTCACCCCACCATTGTAGATCCTCATCTTCTAGAGCTGCAATTCCAGGAATAGGGAGTAGCCAGGCGAAGGATTCATGGATTCCTGAGAAATCTTCCAGGGATGGTCACTAGACATGCTTGTCAAGGTCCTTTCCATGTTTCACATGCCTGCCAAAGTCACCCTTCTACAAGACAGATTTGACCATATCATTTCCTCTGCTGAGAAACTTCTAGCTGTGTAGCGCTCACACACTATGGCAGCAGCTCACTGCTCTCTGAGCTCTGACCTGTGAAAGTGTTCCCCATAGACACTGCAACATCTACTCATTACTGTCCATTTCCCCTCTCCATTTCTCCCACCATCTGAACTTCCCTTTCTTGTCCGGCAGACTTTGGGCCTCCTTTAAGCTCTCCCTTAGATGTCCTCCACTCTAAAACAACTTCCCCACCTTCTCCAGCAAAGTAATGACCCCTCTATTTGCTTCCATAGAATTTAGTAGAAATGTGTGCAAATCACAGAACTGTAATACGCATCTCTTTCCTTGACTTGGTCATGTTTACCATTGTATCTCAACTCTAGCACCTGTCTGTGTGACATGGAAGTCACTCAAACAGAATGAGGTTCCCATTTCTTCCAGTTTTCCTACCAGGATTATCTATTTTCTTGGAAAAGTTAAGCCCTTGTTTGGGTAGGCGAAGGAGAATGTGAACTACTGGTCAATCACAAGCCTGTAAATGTAAGGCCGATCATGCTACTTGCTTCTCTTGAGCCCCTTGCAGCTGCCTTGGATAGGGGAGGGCTTTAGATAATGTAACTAGTTGTCCTGCTGCTATTTGGTTCTAGCTCCTTTTTCTCGAGGTTACTTAGACTTCTATTTGCAGTGGACAGTGCAACACCAGTCTGCCCCAGCAAAGTCCACTGGGCAGTTGTCAGTTTTCTCCTTGGACAGCTCTTGATAGGCTTATACTCACTTTGAAAACAGGAGCTGTGCAGACATGACCACATCCGTTGCTGCAGCACTTCTTTTCACGGGGACATGATTGATCTCCGGAGCAAGCTTCAACACAAATCCCAAATTGTCCTCTACGCACCTCAGGGCAGGCACCACGTTTTTGTTGTGCTGAAATACACAGCGGGATTTTTAAAAACCAAGACAGAGATGAGAACAGGTGCTGAATGTCTGAAGCCCTCGTGACTGCCGGGACTGCAGCTCTGGTTTCCTCCTTTGCGCCCCTGGACTCTTCACTCATTTCACTTGCTCCACTGTCAGTCTAACCCCCCATCATCACCATCCAGCCCTTAGGAGAATGTTCTCTCTGTGGTTCTCCAAAGCCTACAGAGTCTCAGTGGGAAAGACACCTGCACTGTCACTCTCCCTCTTTTGCACCTCAAGAGAAAACATTGTGAAATCTCTGATCACAGACAGATGGACAGGTCCTGGGTGTACCTTGTGTTCAGCCTGGAGTGACTGCTATGGGAATCCCACATCCAGGTCACGTCTCCTTACCAGAGGAGTAACTCTACCCTCTATCCCCGAATTCTGTCAGATGTACCTTACTCCGATAAGGATTGAAATGCAGGGTTCCACCCCTGTAAGTCAAAGGAAATGGGTCTGATGTAAGCAGTGGGTATATGCCCTGTGTCTTTGACATCTGTCCCCAAGACAAGGGCTGGGCTCTGAGCCTTCTCTGCTCTCTGGGACACCCTCAGCATACTCACTTGTGTGAACAGGTAGCCATGCGTAGGCCATGTCCATTCCCATGACAACAAAAGCCACCAGAACCAAGACTGTGCTTGTCTTCATTTTGGCCTCTGCTGTGTTGTGCGCTCAGAACAATTTATACCCTTAGTATTTCCGGAAAGAAGGGTGGGGCAGGAGCCAGTAGAGCAGGAAGAATATGAGAACAAGCTTCCCAGGGAATGTTCCCGGATTTCTTTATTCTATTTCCCAACTGGTTTGTCTCTTAGCACAGTTTTGTTTCTTGGCAGATGCAAATGCCAAAATGAAATGCTATGCAAAAACACCTTTCTGTGGTGATTATCCTTTACCCTCAAAGGATTAGAAACTTGTGCTTGCTTCAGCAGCACATATACTAAAAGTGGAATGATACAGAGAAGAT